GAGCAGGGGGAGATAGAACAAGGATATGGATTGGTTGTTGATGACGATGGTTTAGGTGTACATACACCTGAAAACACACCGTCACACCAAGAGAGGAGAGAGCAGCACTTGCTGCAGCAGCAGTGGCCCGAGCTGCAGCCGAAGCAGCAGCAGCAGCAGCAGCAGGATGGTTCTTCTGCTTGGCCTTCTCTCGATCAAGACACAGACCAGCAGCAGCAGCAGCAGCAGCAGCAGCAGCAGCAGCAGCAAAAGCGGCAGACACGTAAGATAAAAACAGCAGCAGAACAGCTCAGGGAAGCATGGGATGCAATGATAGAACGAGAAACAGCAGCAGAAACAGCAGCAGCAGCAGCAGCAGCAGCAGCAGCAGCAAGTGAACAGCAGCAGCAGCAGCAGCAGCAGCAGCAGCAGCAAGGGTTGTCTCCTCATGGCCTCGCCAACGACTCCCTCGATGGCTTCGCTCGGCTGCTGCTGAAGGACCTGCGTGCTGCTGCTGTACCCACCCCGAAGCAAAAAACCCCAGCAGCAGCAGCAGCAGCAGCAGCAGGAGCAGCAGCAGGAGCAGCAGCAGCAGGTACGCCAACAGCAGCAGCAGCAAAAACAACTGGACGGGCAGGAACTGCTGTGAAGGTAGCAGCAGTAACTGCAGCAGAAGCAGCAGCAACTGCAGCAGCAGCAGCAGCAAAAGGACCCGAGAAAGCTGCTGAGAGAAACCGACAGAAAGCAGCAGCAGCAGCAGCAACAGCAACAGGAGCAGCAGCAACGACAGCAGCAGCAGCAGCAGCAGCAGACTCCGAAGCAGCCGAAGCCTCCGGGAGTGCAGCAGAAGAAGCAGCAGCAGCAGCAGCAGCAGACGAAGCAGCAGCAGCAGCAGCAGCAGCAGCAACAGATGAATCTGAGGAAGAGGGTATCTTGCGGGGCCGGTGGCGTCTCCGTGGCGGTGAGCAGCAGCAGTCGCTGCTGCAGCAGCTGAAGGAGCAGCAGCAGCAGCAGCAGCGGCAGCAGCAGCAAGAAGAGACAGAAGAAGTTCCTATGGTCTGGGGCCTGCAGCAGCTAGTGGAGCAGCAAGCTGCTGCTGCAAAAGGAGCAGCAGCAACAGCAGCAACAGCAGCAGCAGCAGCAGCAGCAGCAGCAGCAGCAAGAGATAAACTTTTTCGTGTGCATGCAGCAAGAAGTGAAGGGGCAGCTTTTGGTGCTTCTTTCTGCTGCAGCAGAGAAGAGACAGAAACGGAGACAGAGACAGAAACAGAGACAGAAAAGGAGACAGAAACACAGCCCCTATGGATAGAAGCAGATGACAACCAACAGCAGCAGCAGCAGCAGCAGCAGCAGCAGCAGGATGTAGGGGTTGTGCTGACGCTGCAGCAGCCTCTGGCTTCGCTCGTTGTTTGGGGCTTTATACGACGCATGCAGCACCCAGCTTCAGCGTATAGAGGGAGGTGGGGTTGTTGTTCTCTCGCTGCTGCTGCTGCTGCTGCTGCTGCTGTTGCTGCTGCTGCTGCTGCTGCTGCTGCTGCTGCTG